TAGTTAAGTTTATTTTGATGTAATGAAACATTTGATACCTTGATAAGTTTAAATTATATTCTATAATAAAGTGCGAACATATTTTATGCCATTAAAGTTTGTTTGTGTCAATTCTCATAGCATTTTCACTGGTTTTATTTATACACATTAAATATACTTTTTTATAGATATATTTATGATATCAATTGTCAGTCAAAATTGAATATCATTTTATACTTTTGTATTTTTCTCGTCAAACTATAAACAAAATTCTTTTATTAATATTAACCGTTAATTATGATAAAAATAATAATTTATTTTAACAAAAATCGGTGATAATTGTTTTCAATGTTATTTACTTAATAATAATATTGTTAATAAATATATTTAATTTCAATTAATAGTTTAATATAGTTTATTAAACAAAGTTATATCCAATTTATAAAACTTGATTCATATTAAAGTCACAATTAGACTGAATAGTCATACAAATGCCATCTTTATTATACAGAAATTATGAGTTTGATAAATGTGAGGTTAGATTGTAAAATGTTATAACTAATGTATTATTTATATATTAATCATAATATAAATATAAAGCAACAAATAATTTTATTATATTAAATGAGGTGTTTTTCAAGTATAAAATTACTTAATTAAATTATTAATTAAATATTAAAAAATTATTTGCATAATTTATTATTAATCAAATTAATCAAATATGGTAGAATTATGATTAGCTTAAGTATATACTGTAATTACCATTATATATAAAAATTTTATATTTAGATGAATAATAATAAAAAATAATTTGAACAATTTTAGATTATTATTTTTAACAAAATATTAATTTATTAATAAAATAATTTTAATATTTAACAAAATGATATACATCTAATAAAATAATTGATGACTTTATAATTAATATAATATTTTAAATATTTGCATAATATCTTGAATTATACAATTGTAAAAAATAATGATTATTTTGCAGACAAATTTAATTAGTGATACCCAATAATCGAGATCTGAGAAACGGTAGATTAGATATTAGGGCGATGTGTAGGTGTGCCGGTGTGTCACTCTTGGTTAACACAGATTTTATATAATACTTCAACATTCGATACTATTTTAATTTAAAAAAATCAAAGGTTAAGTCAGTTTTTAAAACAATTTGTTTAATTACTACTTAAATAAAATATAATTTCAAGTCTAAAAAAAGTTAGTTATTTGCAGAGTTAGATCAGATTCTGTCTCTCGTTTTATAATCCAAAAGTTCTTTATGTTCCCAATGCTTACTGGGAATTCCAGGCAATCTATTTCCCTATACTACCACCTATTAAACTCTAAACAATACATTTTATTATAATATTTGAAAAACAAATATTATATTAAACTGTATTTTAAGTTGTATTGATAAATAGTATAAATTTATTGGATTTTTAAATTTGCAAAATATTTAAGTTTAGGTACTATTTATTTAAGAATATAAAATATATTTTTCCTTTCTAACGATCAATGGAGGGAAAATAAAATATTTTCCATATTTTCCGGGAAAATTGGAGGGATTTTTAGAGAAATTTTCTCTCTGGGAACGCTGATTATAACTCTAATTATAACTAATCTATTGTGTGTATGATATGATTAAAAAACTTACTGATCTATAGACAACTGGTTGTATAATATGAGTGAATTGAGTGAACAGATCGTTGAAATGTATGAGCGTTGAGCGTAATTCAGTGTTGACGGACATCATCTGTACGGCTGTCGCACCGATCAATAGGAACCGCATAGTTATGACCAATACGTCGGCACATATGCAGCGCAACATTTGGCGCAATAGATTGTCATTGTTTTGATCGGTTGTATCGCTCCGGGTCTCTATCCTGACTAAACTGGTGTACGTTAGCAACGATGTGAAAGTATAGAAGCCGTCGATTGAGATTTGCAATAAAAACAGACCAAACACTGTACTCATAACCAAATTGAAGGCTGAATTGATCCGTTGAGTCAATCGGGTGTTACTTTTGAACAGTGTTTTAATCTCTCGTAAATGTATAATATCGGGTATTTCCGATGCCGTCACCATTAGATCCATGTAGTCATTCAATTGCTTGATTCTCGAGTTTATAGCCTTTTTATTTATAAAAATAAAATATTAATATTATTTATTTCAAAATAAATTACTTACTAATGCAAAACCAATATAGACAGGTATGAGCAATGTGTTGACCACCCGGTGCGGTAACTTTCCGAGAAATTCTCCAAAAGTATCAAAAGTGTATCCAAACTGAAGGCGCCATTGAAATGTAAAAAAAGCTATGATATGATGTGATAAACAAATGCCAATAATTATCATTAACTTAATGATAACTATTAAAGGGTTAAACATTTTTGTATGATTTATATGATAGGTATCCAATTCAGTAATGATATCTTTAATGTGGTAACCTTTAAGCCAAAACAAATTGATTGCCAGAATAAGAGGAATAACTTCAAAGAGATCAGTTAGAAGATCAATAAAATATAAGGGAAATTGTCCTAAAATGAATAATCCGTATAATATTTGAAACCACAGATACATAAGCCAACCATTTAGTGCTGTCGTTATAACTAATGATAGTATAGTTAGCGGTAGTAGTAATAGATTTGAAAATATGGATCGCAACCATTTGAATGTAGTGTTAATTGAGTGACTATTATCAGTACGGGAGTAAAATAGGGCACTTAGTATGGGTGCACCGGTCAATACAAACGGTAACATAAGTAAAAACAATATGTTTCGCCAAAATTTTGTCGATACTTTCGGTATGAGTGGCATTGAATGTACCGACCAATTGGCGTTGACATCCATAAGCACATCGACCTGTCCTCCAGAATGTACCGATAGACCCGAATTCTTTGAGTTGGCCACTGTTGACGAGCGACTAAATATCTGTGGATTATTATCAGCCGAGTTGGTTACAATACCACCTTTTTTATTACTACTGGCAGACATACCAATCACGGATGGTCTGTCACTTATTGACATTTAATAAAATAAATGAAATTAAATTCCCAAAAACAATGTTAAACTTAAAGTAGACTTTAATTTAGTTTATAATTAATTTTGTAGATAATATTTGAATATTGAATACTAAGTCATGCGTGACATTCAGTAGTTTAACTTTACATTTAAATATATATGTAAATATAAATATATCATATTTAAAAAATATTTTTTTGTTGTATTTACATAAAATTGCAATATTTAAATTTATTTACAAATACTGTATCAAACATACAGTTTAGTATTAATATAATAATATAAGGTTATATGACGAAATTGATATTTTTAAAAGAAATTTAATTAATTTTGTGGACCAAATATTTATTTTAATTAAAATTAAACTGAATTTCAATTACAACGAAATAATATTAGTTTTAAGAAATTGAAACATTTTTGTAATTATTTGAAAATACAAATATAATATTTTTATTGTAAATTCTGTAATTCTGTATCACAAAAAAACTGAAAATTAAACATTTACTGACATTGAAATATAAATAAATAAAACTATTGATATATATTTTGTTATCAATAAATATATACTGTATATGTTGGGTAAAATTGTTGTTTTCATATAAATGTCACAATATAAAAAAATAACAATCAATAATTTATCATGGTATATTATTGAAGTAAATCTAATGAACTTCATATTATTATCATAAAAATAATGAATAATACACAAAATTATTGTTTTAATGATATCAAATCATATAGTTTTAAAATTAAGTCTAATTGCATTACATTTGATTGTAAATAAAAAATAGTTAATAATATTTTTATTTGTTTTGATTTATCAAATATATTAAAAATAAATACATTTTCTGTTGAATTGTCAATAATTAATACACAATTCTTGATCATTATTTTTATTATATTTTTATTATGTTAATTATCATATACAGTATTTATATCATTCACTACTGAAAATAAAATTATTGTATATTATATATCTACATATAAATTTAATTTATATAATAATAATATTGTAAAACGATTGTGAAATTGAAATTGAGTGTAACTATTGGTAACAAACCATAGCAGCCCAGTGGCTCAATGAGCTGGCGAGTCGTCCTCACGATCGGAGGATTGTGAGTTCGATTCTCGCTTGGGTAGCAGTGTTTATTGTGCGGCACTAAGCTTTAAATGCTATACTTTCATTACGTACTAACAGTACTGGAAGAATACCAGTTGTATAACTGAATCCAGTACTGTATAAACATCCGAATTGAATTAAACATTTCTTTACACTCAACAATAAAATTTATTTATCGACTTATAATAAATATAAAGTATTAAACTATAATAAAATGTAAATAAAATATAAATAAAATGTATTATATAATATTAATATTTATTTGTACCGATACTGTATATGTTAACAGTAGTATATTACCGGTAATGGATTTTAGAATATCTATATAATAATACCATATTTCATATAATGTTGAAAATAGATTTAATATAAGTTATAACATATTATCAAAATTTAATAAAGTGATAGAATTTAATAATAGTTTTGATATATACCCTAACAATAATATCTCATGTTATTTTTAGAATATAACTTATAAATTATTTGTATAAAATTTTAATTGAATTTAAAATAATTATTGCTAATTTATTGTTAATTGTTGCTGTTTAATAAGTATTTTATTTATATTTACAACTAGATAAACCGTACCAAAATTTATATGAATACTACGATTATCTTAAAATAAAATAAATAATTTTTTTCTTATATTACTATTCTCAAAAATAAATCAATAATGTTTAATAACAATTAGTAATTAAAAAATTATTTTTAAAAAACTTTCTAGTGTTTATATTGCATCTATTTTATTACAATATATTAGCAATTACATATAAATATAATAATGTCTAAATATAAAGATATTTTAATATCTTATCCTAATAACTAATTTTACAATTTTATTGTTAATTATTATTACTATATATAAGTTAAACACAATTATTGTGTTTTATTATCGAGTTTAGCACTTTTGCGACTACAGTAAGACTTGAAATAAAACTTAATAAACATATAGAAAAATAGTATGGATTGTGAATATGCGGTCCAAAATGCAAAGGACGGGTAGGTTCCCTGATGGAGAAGCTTAACGAGAGTACCATAGGCTCCAAACGCACAGAATTGCAATAACTGGAGTTGTGTTATGTATCGTTTCCACCAAAGAAACGGTTGGATTCGTGGTCCCAGAGCTGACAGTGCGTAATACGAGTACATAACCATATGGACCAATGAATTGAGTAATGCAAATAAGGTTATGGACGGCACATTGAACCGGTACCAGAAGGTCATCCAACCCAATACGGGAACAGCCGTGTGATGATAGACGTGAAGAGTAGTTATCTGTGAATACTTTTTGCGCAAAACAAAGAACACGGTGTCTAAGAGGTCGACAAATTTGGTGCAATAATACAAATAGAAAGACCAGATCTGTTGCTGAATGGCCACCGAATGGTCATCTTTTGTCGGAAATCTAAAGTCAAACAAAGCTGAACCGTATTTAATCCATTGAAGCGCCTGAATGAAGAAGTAAGCGTTTGCCGCAACCATTGCACTGTTGTATATCAATAACGTTGACCGCAATTCAAACGGTTCGCGAGATTTCATAAAACTCGGACCTATTTTATGGACAAACAGATAATAACTGGTCATAATTGTTAGCATAAGCCACGGGCCGTCTCGTATGAGCGGGTAGTCAGCGGTCCGGTGATCGCCCATTTCACGCCAAAAATCAAATAAATAGTATCGGAGGACACCATTAGATGAGATAATGGATGTACTTGTATTGACTGACATTTCATCCCACAACCAATACTACTGTTTCCTTCAAGTAATTGATTGAAAAAAGTCATTCAATTAACACTTATGTTGTTTTTTACACAATTCTATCATTTATTTTCATCCGTTACCTCAAAGTTGGGATGAATTGACTTAATTAAACACTTAGTTGATTGTCGTTAATAAGGTTTATAAACAATTTTTACAATAATATTATATATTATTTATAAACACAAATTGAATAATCATTGAGTATTTATTTATTTATTTATTGAATAATCAATCAATTTTTATCAATTAACTCTTTTTATAAAAACAAAATTGTTTTTACAGTTTATTTTTGAGAGCCTTTTAAGAGTCGGGTTTTCATTAATAAAGACCTTTAACTACTGTATGTAAAATACAATTAGCTTTCAACGACTTTCTTATATATATATAGTAATAAAAAAAATTGTTTAATACGTATGTGTAATAACATTGTGTATCCCATATGTTTAATATGTAATGTTTAATAAAGTTATGAAAAATATATAATATAACACTGATTTGTTGCTTAACTAATGTTTACTTTTTTTCTAACTACAGTATAACCTTAATTGTTTTATAAGGGAATTACAGATATCGGCGCTCAGGTATGCTTAGAAAGAGAAAGAAAGAGAGATAGATATATAGAGACAGAGACAGAGAGATAGAGAGGAAGTCTATTAAATATTTGTATGAAATTTTTATTAAACCTAATAACGCATAAATTTATAGTATTGTACTGTAAATTATTTATATAAAAAAGGCCTTCAAATTAAAAAATACAGGTTTTAAGCGCTATTGACTTTACATTATAGACGACTTTTCACTAGTTTAGTGAAAGTCTCCAAACATGCAGTATATTGTCTTAAAAGGCGATTCATAATATTTCATATCCATAACTCATTTAATATAAAAAAACTTTTTTTTGTCCCTAAATTTGTCTTTTTAAAAATTATTATTTATAATAAATTGTTTTTAATTTGCAAACACGTTATTTGAATTATTGTTGTCATTATTTATATGCTAAATGAATTTCTCCATCAAAATACTGTACAATCAATACTATATAATACAAGGACCTCTTGTTTTGATTGTTATACAATGACTTTTAAAATTAGTAAATTTATGTAAATATTTATTGTATTTTATTTTATTTTTTAAATATATATATTATACTTATTTATATATATATAATTACTATTATTTTATAAAAAATTATAAATAAATCAAGAAAATAAATAGGAAAAAATAAGATAAAATACAATTAAAAAATTAGCATTATTATGTTATTTTTATTATTTACTAATTTTAGTATAACAATAACGCAAATCATATAAATGTCATAAATAATACAATATTTAATAATATTATAATATAATAAAGTATTGAAATATTTGAGTACATATAAGGACACAAATGACCGGAACTTAATTTACATTCTGTTCCCAAATATTTCATTATTATTATTATTATTAAATCTATAATAAAACTCAAATACAATTGAAATAATTGTTATTTAATTAATATTGTATAAGTTTTGCTGTTTATAGTTTACATATTTCGTAATATTTAATCCAAAAGTACTTTCATTTTTAAAAATAAATAAAAACAAATATAAAATTTTTGCTAATTAAACGTACTTTTTAAAAACAATATAATATAATTTTCTAACAATTGCTATTAATAAATAATTAGCAATTGTAGTAATTTAAAGTAGCAATTGATAATTGCCAATTATTATTTAATACATTATAACAAATTATTATATTTAAAAATTTTAAAAACTTTTTATATAACTTAAAGTAGCACTTTTGAAAAATATTAATATTTTATTTTAGATATTTCTTAGACGTTTCTATAAATAAATGTATATATTATTAAAAACAACGTATTGTTTTAAAAATCTTAAATTTCACACTTAATTTAAATAATATTTACTCACAGCTTAAAGTAAATATAAATTTATATACAGTATATTATAACTATAATAAAACATGTTATTGTGTTTTTAAATATTAAAATATAAGATTTATTTGTTTTACACTTTTAACTTATATTTATATTTAAAAATAAGAAATTTTATTGTAAATTCATTAACAATATCATAGATTTTATTTATTATTGCTCAATGAATATAATTTGTGAAATTAAAAAATATTTACAATATTTTTGAAAGTATAACATTATTAAAATTTATAGTTAACATATTAATAAAATGTTTTAAACAATTGATTTAAGTGTTACTTTAATTAAATGATGATTACAAAATAATACTTTTTTCATTTTGTTATTTAAAAAAATATATTTCTAAAATATAACAAAATTAAAATATATATATAATAAAATAGATCAAATTAAAATGTTTGCAATAAGTTTTAAATATGTATTAATAAATATAATGATATATTGTATTTTAAAATTTTAAATATATTTTTTCAATATACTCAAAAATGAAAGATTAAAAACAAAATTTTATAAAAAAAAAGTTAGTTGTATTTTAGTTTAGTTATAATTTGTGACTGAGTTTTATCTGTATGAGCACTGGTAGTTAACTTCAATTGATACTTAGCTCCGGAGATGACTTTATTAGTGGCGGACTCGCAATAAGTTTTCAAATAGAAAGAAGAAAATAATACCAAATAGACGGGCGGTTGAGCTACAGATGTACAGATCAAAATGGTTGGCCAACCGGTCTGTTTGAAGACATAAGTGGTGCCATAGATGAAAAATATGACGAACTGGATTAGCTGTACTTGTGTTATGTATCGTTTCCACCAGAGATACGGCTGAACGATCGGTCCGAAAGCCGACAGTGCATAGTATGTGTACATAAGCACGTGAACGGCTGAGTTGAAAATCGGGAATATGCCGTTCACGCCGGCTGTTGGGGCAAACTTAACGGCCAACCAAACACATACGGGTACCGATGCGTGATGATAGAGATGCAATGGTGATACTTGTGTCCACTTTTTTCGTAGTATAAAAAATATGGTATCCAATAGGTCGACCAATTTGGACACAAAATACCAGTAGACAAATGTTAGACGTCTCATTTCAGCTACTGTTATGTCCCGGTGCTGACTGTCGGGGAACTGAAAATTCATGAGTGATCGGCCAAACTCATAGGCGTAGAGACTCTCAAAGAAAAAGTAGATATTCAATGCCACCATAAATATGTTGTAGACAGTTATGACACCTCTCAAATCGTATGGTTTACGGTTAGCCATCATTTTGGGACCGATCACAATTGCAAATATTAGGTATGAGCTCAAAATGGACACCAGTGGCCACACTCCGCCGCGAAACAAAAACATTTCGTCTACTATGACATTGGTCTTCAAATTTCTGGCACTTCTGTATAGTGTCACCAATGGATTCGTCATAATTATCATCTCATCCATTGTTGCATTCATTTCTATTAATATGAAATGTATATGAGTTATAAATTATGTTTATTTTATTTTAAAATAAAGTCACAGATTTAATGATAATTATTTAAAAATAAAAATTGTTTAAAATGTATGAGACGTATGGATGGGTATAAACTGATGAGTTCAGTATATGTGAAGGCATTTAATGTCAGGGCTTGACTTTCCCTTTAAGAAACTAACTGACAAATGGTGTGAAAATTTCTCTAAAATATATACTCATTGTCTTCGAAGGACAAACTGATCCCTAAGATTATAAGGCAAGGGATGAGTCGAGTTGTTTGTTGTCATAACGTTTGAGAAACAATTGAAAGTTTGCTAAACTTCTTCAATGATATACACAAATAAAATAGAGTTTTGCGTATAATATTAATAATAATAATATTAGTAGTAATAGTTTTCACACTTTATTAGTACATAAATAGTAAGATGTGATAAAATATAAAAAAAACGTTGTGTTTCGTCAATAAACTTGAATTTTTCAATTCATTATCACAAAACCTAATCATAAGATTCACAAATATAATAGATGTAATGATAATAATAATAATAATAATAATGACAATTATCAATATAAAAGTTGAGATGTTTTTATTGTTTTTGTTAAAATATTGTCAGTCAATATTTAATTAATTTTATTAAACTATTAGAAATTTCTGGGGAATTCTCATCAATGATTGAATTAAATAATTTAATAAAATCTTTTTTTTATCATAGAATTATATTATTAATTATTGACTTAAATTTAATGAAAAATATTTTAATAAATTAATGTTTTTTAATGTGGAGGTTTAGAATTAATTAATTAATATTCAATGATTAACATGGATTACACTTATAATATTTATGTAAATTATGTTTAAATTTAATTTTATAAAACACTCAATAGAATGAATATTAGTAAAAAAATAATAATATGATACATAAAGATTGTAAGATTTTAATTTAATACAATATTTCAATAACATATAAAAGAGCTAACAATTACTATTATAAAAAACTAATTTTTTAATCAACAAATATAATAAAATTGATTTAATAAACTGTTTATTATATTTTATAGTATATTGTGTTATATCTATTATGATAACAATTGTAATAAATATAAAATAATTCATAATTTTTTTCGCAATATATTAAATATTACCGTATATGCCATAAGATTAATTTTTAAAAATATTTATGGTTTTCAAAAAACAATTGTTTGTCTAATTTGTTATCCATTAAATTTTTTTAACACTTAATGCAACAAAACGCTGATATATTTATAATATATATTACTGTTGTGTTTTGATTGATATTTTATGACATTTAACATGATTTTTTCGATAAAAAATATATCAAATAAAAAAATTAACAGAAGTTAAAAACTAATATAAATAATTATTTTAAAATTAATGTATTTAGCAAAAATTATTTTAAAAATGTAAATAGCTATAATAGTAATCACAATAGTTATACTGTATTTTATTGAAATAAACATATATATAGTGAACTAAATTTGTCAGTTTATCATAAATAAACTAATCAATAGTTTGACATTAATTTTTGAGACTAAACATTAAACCTAATGTGTCCTAATTATTGTATAATTGCATAATTGTATATCGATTTTCAAATTATTATTATTATTATTATTATATCATTTATTACCAAGCAAAAATACGTAACAATACTCCTGGGAAATATAATTATTATTATAATCTAAAAATTATGACAATAATAATATAATGATAATCTCAAAAGTCGTGTGTTTTAATTATCATTTATTTAATTTCACTCTAAACTAATGTATATGTTATGGGGTTTTACTTATTAATGAAATACAAGTACTTCTGTATTGTTCATAATTAACTCAAAGTCCATGAAATATATTTGTATATCATATTTAACAAAACATCTTAACATTTATATACATAAAACTGATTTTCATTTCATTTCAGACCAAAGTTGAGACTATTGTTTAGTTTCTATATAAAGATTATTATAAATTATATCATTTCTCTAATAGTGTAATAACCCAAACATGTAAATACAATATTATTTTTAATAATATTGTTTTATTTTAAGTAAATTATATATTTATGTTAGATTAAATAAATGATATTTTATTGCAAATGTAATTTGTCAATAAATTATTTACATATTTAATATGTCTTTAAAATGTTAGTTAACATAAATATTTTGAGTAATTTTCAAGATAAGTATTTAATATCTAAGTTTATAAATTATAAAATAAAAGTAGCAATTATAATAATTTATTTTAGGCATCAATTTTAATGTCATAGGATTGTAAGATTTTATATGAATCTAATGTACAATCAAAATGTAATTTAATGTATAAAAAAATTAAAAACATGGTTTTGAAATTATCAATAAAAAATAGTTTTATGATAAAATATTATATCGATATAAAAAATACTAAATTTCTTAACTAATTAATTAATAATTAATTAATATTATTTATTCATTTGTTAGAAAAATTTAAGTGAAGTGTTATCATAAATCATATATTTTGTACGTAATATTGTAACAACACTCGATAATACCATTTAATTGTATACTTAATTATAATAATTAAACAAATAATAATAAATAGCAATTAGTATCATATGTCTTGTGATGCATTAGTGTATTATTTTTATCAACAATTTTTTCCCAATAAATATTAAATACAATTCAATTTTATATAAAGTAATTGTTATTTGATTATGAAATACTTCATTGATTAATACAATAATATATAAATATCCATATCCTATTTAAAATGTAAAAAATAAAATTTTGTTTATTTTAGTACACATGTACAGTAATATTTTGATAGGTAAAGGTCTACAATGTTTATATAAGCTATTGATATAACATAACTCTATGATTGGAGCATATAATAGGCAAAAACATTAGTATAAGTTATAATTTTAATTGAAAGTAAAAAACAATTCTCCTTAAACTAAATAATTAAAAATAAATTATAAATAAAAACCTAAAAAAAGTTAACAATATTAAATTATAGTAACTTAGATCTAGGATATATTGAATAATATTTATTTAAATAAAAATTAACTTTCATCTAAATTATAGTAGAGTTAGTTATTTAAGATAACTGTACCCAACCCAACCCAACCCAACCCAACCATCACAATCAGTAAATAACTGGTGACGTCCTAATATGATAGCACGTGAAGAGAGTTGCCCTAACTATAGATATGTTTAAAGACATAAATAGTGGTCTCATTGGTAATTGTGAGAACAGTTTTCAATTAAATGCCAACTTATTATGTCACAGATATTTAATTATTATTATTATTGAAAAATTAATAATATCAATTTGAATGTATTTTTAATACATATTAATTTATGCAAAATTATTGCTATTTAATGAATCCCTGGTTATTATATAAGACTAAATACTATAGTTTTCTTTTATTATTTACATTTTATTTATTGGACGACGAGATTGAAGACCCGAAACTCATTCATCGCACTCAATATGCCGTCAATTAAGTACTTGTGGGCCATTAGGAGCTATATATTTGCCTGGTTTTTACCACTGGTTCTCATACCCATACCATTAATGATTGACACATCGGTTTGTTTACTTTATATTTAAAAATTTAATTAATTTATATTATGTAATCATTTGTAATATAAGATATTAATTTTTAAGAGATTTTTAAAAAAATAAATTATAAAAATTCGGATCATTTAATTTAAATAATCTTAAATATTTTAACATATGTTTAAGTTAACATTTAATAAAAATTTTAATTTATTTTATTTGAAAGTAAAAAATAATAATATTATAACTGATAAATTAGTACAGGTATTATCATATCAATTATTAATAGTGTAGAAGTAGATCAACACACTTATGTCAAAAAAAAAGTTTTAAATATAATCGAAGCGTTTATTAATTTTATTATAAAAATTTTATTATAAATGAAATTTTATTGCAATATTTAAATTTATTAAATTATTATATATAACTTATAATTTATAAGATTAAAAATTGGTTATTGACATTCAATTATTAATTTTAATTTCTTTTATATTATATTTTACTAATAATATAATATAATACATAATTATTAACATTGAACTATATTGTTGTCAAACAAATTTAGGCCGACTCAACATTATTTAAATATTAATAATAATAGTAGTTTTATAATAAATCAAAATTTTATATAATTAATTTTTATGGATAAAAGTATTTTAATTTAGTTTTACTATAATTTAAATTATTTTAAATATTAAATACATATAAAACAGTAACATTCATTGTTTTAATTAATTACAGTGATTTTATTTAGAAATACTAAATATTTATATTATTATTATTACTATCTGTCAATTATATTACATTAATAAATTGATTATATTAAATCTTTTAAAACAAATATTTTCTGAGGACTAAAGTTTATAAATAATTGTTTACTACTAAAAGTTATTACTATTGATATGTAAACAAATTGCTAAATAATTACAAACTTTTTTTTGAGAAATCATTTAATATTAAGACGATTGCTGTTCAAAGTCTATAGCAAAGACTAAATGATATCATAAATAGTATTAAATAAAATCTAAATTCAAAATAAACTCATTTTTTTTGTTATTGTTTTACACTTGACTTACATGAAGGCCGGCAAATGCGCTTATGTAGTATTGCTGATGAGTTTATACTGGTTCACAGAAGCCGTTCCCATATCGGTGACGGCATTACTGCCGATAGTATTGTTTCCATTGATGGGTATCCTATCGAGTGAACAGACATCAAAAGCTTACGTAAATGTATGTAATATTTGTTTTTTCTTCAATCGATAATTATTAGGCATTCCTTTCTATTTTTATCTATAATAACAATGAAATTATGACACGAAGGGCACAATTATGATATTTTTGGGCAGTCTTATAGCTGCAGCTGCTGTTGAAAAATCAATGTTACACAAGAGGATTGCCCTAAAAGTACTGCTCATTACAGGGACATCACCTAAAAGGTCTAGTGTTTTGTTAAGTTAGGCCACATTCAGTATATTTTAATAAATTAATTAATGTTTTAGATTGTTGTTTGGATTTATGTTTACCACTGCCTTCCTATCGATGTGGATCAGGTATACAAAAACAATATTTAAAAGACAATTATAAAAACTTTTAAAAAATAATTATTTCTATATATATATACACAAAAACAGTAATCTTGCGTCGACTGCACTGATGATACCCATTATTAACGCAGCTTTGGATCAATTGAAGCACCGGAAGTCTAAAACTTATGGCACTTTAACACAAAGCTCTTCAAACGGTAATTCACAACACATTTATCATGTTTTTTGGTGATTAGATTAGTTAAATATATAAATATTAATATAATACAGTATAATTGTTTACTTAAAGTGAGGAAATTAATTTTTTAAATATTTATTTTATTATTTGATTATAATTTTGTAATCGTCATTAAAATTACAAATGAAAATTAATCATTTTATTTGGTAAATATTTTTTCAATAACTTTAATCAGTTTTAAACTTGGATTACAAAGATGGTGAACATCAAACTCCGATTAGAAAGCATAGTATTGCTCAGTAAGTTATCTATTTGTTGGTTAATAAATTAAAATAAACTAATTTAATCCACTTTTTATATTATATTAGATCTATAAATATTAGAATAGATGAGGAGGAAACACATGAGTCTATTAAAAAGTCGGTATACCTGGGCGTATGCTATGCGGCCAACGTTGGCGGCACCGGTACGCTGACCGGCACATCAACTAATCTCGTACTTAACGGAATACTCAAAGAGTAAATATTTACGCTTTATATATATTTATTTTACAATTTACTAATTAATTAATATTATTTAGAAATCCGGTATCATTTTCCGATTGGATGATATTCAACATTCCCGGTATGTTTCTACTGGTATTCATCACTTGGGCGTACATCGCATACTTTTTTATGAAAAAATCGGAAGATTTGTTAGCAAACATTATATCTAAATATTAAATATTTTCAATTTTAAGTGCAATTTTATAAAATCAACTTTTTTTTATTACAATAGACTCACCGATGAAAAAGACAACGAAGCCGTGTATAAAGCAATAAAATACAAATACGATGAGTTGGGCTCAATTAGGTAGTCATATAAACGATTAGATAAAAAGCAATTTTGTTTCTCAATTTGCATATATTTAAACAAACCAACAGTTTTTACGAATCCTCAGTTTTGGTACTTTTCATACTTTTATTAATGCTATGGTTTTTCCGCGACCCAGACTTCATGAAGGGTTGGGCTCTCTATATCAGTGATTCACATAAGTATATATTATCTAATATTTCTATTATATTATTATTTATATAATTATAATTATACTATCGTTTCTTTACACTGTTAGCTTCATAAAAGACTCGGCTCCGGCATTATTAATTGTGATATTATTTTTCATAATTCCGGCCAAACCGACACAATTGAACGCATCGCCAACACTATTGGACTGGCGAACCACACAGGACTCGGTGGCCTGGGGTATAATACTTCTCGTTGGCGGTGGCTTTGCTATGGCCGAGGGCTCGGAAAAGTCGGGACTATCCACATGGATGGGCACTCAACTGACAGTATTAGAAAGGTTTTCTCCGTTTACTATAACAGTGATTGTCTGCATAATAGCTCTGTTGCTGACAGAAATCATGTCCAATACGGCCACCTGTACTGTAATGTTACCCGTTATTAAACGATTGGTCAGTATTGTTTGCAGGCATTTTTTTCATAATATTAATTGTTATCAAAAATGGTTGTTTAGGCTATAGAATTGGGTATCAGTCCTCTATCGGTGATGTTACCGGTCACCCTAGTCTGCTCCTATGCATTCATGTTACCGGCGGCCTCGGGAACCAATGCTATCATATTTGAATCGGGAAAAATGAAAAATAGAGATATGGTATGTTTGCATATGTTATACAATATTTGTCACATATTTGTATCAGAAATAGTTAATTTCTGCCATCATTTTTAATAATTAAATTTAAATTAATAATCATAATTACAAAATTGTTTGTTTAATATTTATTGACAGATATATCCGGGATTTTTCTTAAAATTTATATGTATGGCCGTAACATTGTTTATGTTGAATACCTGGGGACCCATAGTATTGAATATGAATAGTTTTCAATATAATCAAACACATAATTATTTTGGTGAAGAAATGACAACTCTTAAAAGTTAAATCAATTCATATAATTTAATTACTCATTTAAATAAATGACATTTATTTTATATTATATTTTTTAAAATCTAAATATAGAACTCATATTAATTTTTTTAAAAAAAAGATTTATCATTATCTAGTCTTATAATAAATTTTGTATAATTCTCATTTAAATCATGACTAAAGTTATGTTAATAAAATTTTTAAAGTTTATGTTTATATATTTGTTGTTAATATTTTTTCCGAATGAAATTATTTTTATTACTATTTAATTATATAATACTAATACATCATAAATTATTTTAATGATTTTGAGATGACTTTGTAGATAGATATATGCAACTAGTGTTGGCAAAAAAAGAAATAATTAAGAAATTTCTAGAAAGTTTTTAAAAGAAATTTCTATTTGCTTATCTCTTTTTATGCAACATTTGATTTGCAATAAAAACATCTATTATTCAATCGTTCATCTATTTAGTTTTGTTATAAATAATTTTACTAAATTAAAATATTAAATTTGAAATAGATTTTATTCAATTAAAAAAAATTATTTAGATAATTTGATATTTCTAAAAATTTTCAACAATAACAATGTTAATACAATTTTTTTTAGAAAATTGCACAAACAATAACAATTTAAATTATTTGGTACATATTATATATTATAACAAATAATGTATCCAAACTGAACATCCCGTTTTATTCAATTGGGAACGGATAGGCATTGGCAAAGTGTTCATAGCTATAGCTAACCAAATGTTGTACGGCATCGTCAACCTTAAGCTCGACATCGGTACCAGTGCTCAGCTTTTCGCATACATTGGCAAACACGTGAAGTTTGCGCAATACATACGGGTGCTATCCATGAAAAATTGAATAAATCAAAAGAAAAACTTAATTTCAAACAATAACTTCACTATATTTCATGACAAACCTGATTCAAATTAAGTGCTTTTTGGTTAAAAATATCGACCAGTTGTCTATAGCACTGTCTATTATTGAGTTCTTGTTTGGTATTCATAATGGCATCGATGTCGTCGCCCACCAAATGTTTAATACTATTGACATATTGGCGCAAATGGTCGGTCAGGAATTGGCGTCCGTCCTTCAGTCGCTGCAATTGCTCTTTAAATCTGTTTAAAAATTTAACTTAATTATAAAAAAAACATTTGATTTTTTATGTGTACAAACATCAGCTTCTGTGTGTCGCTCTGTGCCTCATCGACTCTGTGCTTAAGTATCTCAAGGGGAACGTCACCGCTGTCCACAGCATCGGTCACCGGTACTACCAGTTTATCCATTGGTGGCGCAACTTTGTCACCTGTAATGATATCACATTAAATTTCTTAACATATTTCTATTAAAATGATGTTATGTGTCATCCATACCCTGAAACTCTTTGAGAGTCAATTGATTAATAACAAGATCACCGTATTGTTGGACATGGGATGTAGTCGTGCGTTGTTTGACAACATTGAACTGGTCTACTAATGTCTCTTTGCCGACATCACGACGATCACTGTCTTCAACCCAATTGACACTATAGACATCGCCTATATTTTAATATATAATTTGTGATAATCAGTCGTTTATTTAATAATAATAGTAATTATTATTATTATTATTATAGTTTGTATGCTAACCCAGGTATGTGCTTCGTTTGGCGTCATAATAACAGGCATAACTTGATTCAGTGGGATTGGAGGCAGTGGTGGCGTATACATTGATATTTTTGGGTAACAATTTGTTAAACATTGAACCTATTAGTAAATTTAAATTATATAATTTTTTAGTATATTAAGTGCAAAACATGTGTGACATTTAATATAATACCCGACTCGCACGCCTCCAAATAAAACACGAGTTTTGAGTACATTTTGTGGTCAAACATATACTGCAGAGCTTTGTTGAGATCCTCTCCATAAAGATATTCATTGGGAAAAGCAATTAAGTCTAGTAGTGGTTCAACATATTAAACAATAAGATTATAGTCTATGATAGGACAGTCATCTAACCTGTAGATCCGTGATCTGAGAAAAACACAAATACGTTATCATTGGCTCCACTTTTAAGAACTTTTTTGCCCGATTTGGCCAACTCTTGATCTCCTTTAAGAACAGCCAAGAAGTTCTGATTGTAAATAAAAAAATATATAAATTTTGTTAATTAAAAAAATAACATTTTTATTGTTTTATCCTTACTTTAGGCGTTACGTCTTTGCCAATAAAATCTTTGGGCACTTCATGATAGACATCAGTGCCACCCGGCTTATTGATCACCTGTCCCGGTGTCGGATTACTTGAGTGATGGGCGATGTCGTCGTAATGAAAGACAATAATATTTTTCTCGGGAATGCCGTGATTGCGAACCACTTGATAGGCGTGATAAACGTCAGCCTAATAAAATATATGGTCAAATAATATTTTTAAAGATACAAAACATGATGTTATCATTTACCTGATGACGATAGTTGTACCAACCATTAGAACCGGCCACCAGTACTACCCAAGTCGTACCATTACTATTGGACTCAAACGGGAAGGCATTTGTCAATGAAAACAGGACCGCCAACAACGCTATAACTTTCATTATTGTTAATTGTTGTGTTAAAATATATTAAATATAATTAAATAACAAATTTTTCTTAATAATTATTATTAGTTTTTTTTGTTAAAACTTTGTTACAAACAAACTGATGATTTACTACGAAAACTGATCCAAGTATTTATACAATTTTCAAAATTCAATTGTCTTACCTTTTAAGAGGACTTAATGTGACAAAAACTTAAGATCTAATCAATAAGTTTAAGATTATGACCGATAATACAATGCAATTATCAAAATATATACCTAATAAATGACTATAAATTTAGTCAATAACCTTAAAGTCAAGATTTAAGTGTTACAGATATAATATTATATATAATATCTTTAAAATATTCATGTAGTTTATAGTATAAACTTTATACAGTACTATATCTTTACAATGTATGATAACACAGTGATCTACACAACGCGTTGGCAATCAATAACCTTTTTAATCAATAAACCTACCTGTTCAATTTGTTGGATAATAAGCATATTAAAACAAATTAACCGATAAATAAAGTGTAAAATACAAGTGATAATATACAATATATTGAAAATACAGTAAAATTTATATTGAATACATTGAGCTGTAAATTTGATAGACTGATGCCATGAACTTGGTATTAGTTATAATATTATAATAATGTCTAACTTTGATAATAATTGTTAATTAAGCTCTAATATAATGTTTTACAGATTTAATTATATTGATTAAGTGTTACTAATTATATATTATTTGCTAAAATTTTCTAATTTGTTAGCTTTGACTAAATGTTTTATTTTATTTAATTAAAGTAGACATATAAATTGGAGTATAGCAATACATTTAAAAAAAAATCTAACATGGATGCATAGAAATTTTTTAATTATATATTAATTGTATTAGCTATTTGTATATAAAAAAGACAATTGATCTGGCATATGTGCTAGTGATAAGTTGAAAATTAAAATTATTATAATAAAGATTAATTAAATTATATTAATGATTATGTATTGTTTTTTAGTAATTTCTAAAGAAACCTATAGAAATGCCACCAAAAATTTATTGACTATACGAACTTTAATAATAATTCAAATATACAGGTATATTACATTTGCTTATTTTTAAGATAGTTAAATATTAATTATAATTCATTAAAATTTTATTTATTTAAATAGGAAAATAAAACATAAATTATACTATAAATAGATAAATGGAATAATCATTGTAATAAAGTATTGAAAATTATCATCTTTGTCTATCGAAAAGTTACTGGCTCATATTAATTTTATAAAATAAATAATCATTATTTACAACTAAACTGTTGTTTATCAGAGAGTCTTAAACAGCAGCGATGCTATTAATCACAATTATCTGGTCAACAATACGTTGGATTTAAAACTGACCAAGGATAAAGTTGCAGATAATTTTAAACTAAATAAGATTGTAATTGGTCATTTTTTAATTACTTGTATTATTGACTAGATAATTGCAGTCGACTATTAATTTTAATATTATTTAACAGTCGACTGCAAATTATCTGGCTAATAATGCAATTAATTAAAAACTGACCAATTACAATTTTATTTAGTTTAAAATTATCTACAACTTTTATATTAATCGCTTTTAAATCCAACGTATTGTTGACTATATAATTGAAATTAATAGCATCGCCGCTATCATCCCCATCACCGCTGTTTTAAGACTCTCACGTTGTTTATCTCATTTCAATATCTATTGTATATATTATTTAATATAATTTCATTGTCATTATATCTACTATTTTCAATCAATAATCAGTAATATATATTTGAATTATTAAATAATTTCAATAATGTTTTTATGACTTTTTAAAATAATTAACAATACATTTGTATAGCGATTGTATAATAAATTTATTTAATGTTTTTTTCTTATATTAAGGTATCATTAATAATACAGGAAATAATTTATAGGGTAATAAAATATTTTTTAATAAATTTTAGTTTATTATTTGTATAATAGATGTCAGGATTGATGTTTTATATATGTTTTTATGTAATGCAAAAAATATAATACTGTATATACCTGTAGTAACACTAAACATATACTGTAGTCATATAATAAACTTTGTATAAAAACAAGTCATAGATTTCCACTAATTTATAAATACATTTAAGGGATTTATTATGTGTGACCCCCTGAAAGGTTAACTTTCGTCTATAACAAACATAGCTTTAACTGTATAATTATCAATAAAATGTTTGCTTGTATTAAATGCAATATCATGTTTAATAATAGTTATACTCGTTTATGCCATTTAATTATATCTAAAATATATTTTTTTAAATTTAAAAAATTTATTATTAATTTTAATTTTAATGAATAAATAAATTTTATGATGTAAATTCTAATGCAAATAGTTTTAAAAAATATAATCTAGTTTATTTAAATTTTTTGTTGTTGTATAATAATATAAACTTTATTTGATTTGATATATATGTTTGAGATATTTGTTTATGCATTTTTCACTAACTAATAGCAAACATAGGCAAACATAAGCAATAAAAGATGTTTAATACTAAAAATATATGTAAATTTATATATGAAATAAAATGTTTTTCGTTATTCAGAGATTCATATGCTTTCCGAGTAAATTAGTTGAAGTGCCCATCACTCTGACATCAACTACCGGTGCACTTATATTACACAATCAGCGATGCATATAATTATCAGTAATTAAAATTAATGCACTAAATCTCATGAGAGCTTATATGTCATGTGCTATAAAATATGCCTCAAATATCATTGATATTTTGTTGGCATCACTATACTAATACAGTATACTATATATAACGTACTTTCATTTTGATACAATAAAAAAAAGATTTTTTTAAAGGTAAATATTACTACTGTACAGTATATATAAATAAATGTTTAATTAGGATTTGTTAGCTTTGAATCAAAATTATCACATTATTATTATTATACCTTAAAAACATATTATAATAATTTACTTTTTTTTGCAAAATGTTATATTTATATCTTTCTGAAACCAACGTACAGTTTGTAGAATTTGAGAGCAAAAGGCACATCAAAATTTAGAGTGGTTTGAGATAACGGTGCCATTTATATAGTCTCTTCCTTAAGTCGGACAAACACACAGACACACACACACACACACACACACAATGACTAACAAAACCGGTTTTAAATAAGGAAGTGATGCTTATATAACATAACATACCTTAAAATAACCTCAAATAACCCTACATTGATTACTATTTGTACAAATCTCTGTATTGAACCAATTTATTATATATTAAGTTTAGTTACAATCTTTTTTTTCTTTCTTTCAATCTGAAATTAACAATAAAATATAAAATAAAAAAATTGTCCCGGAATAACACCATCAAAAATTATATAGTGGTTTGAAATATATATATAGTTATATAACAACACACACGCATGCACTTGAAGATTGTGTGTGAGTTAGTAGTGGATGGATATACTGTAGCCGTCAAACAAGTAATGCTTTTAGTAGTATTGCCACTACTTTTTCAGGTCATATGTGTTGGTGTGTTGACTGTACAGTTGGACTCAAACAAGTCATTGATCAGTCCGTTTAATATTTTAATTTAAATTAAATATATTGTTAAATCAATATATTGTTAAATTATAATATATATATAATAAATTAAAAAACATCTTTTATTTTCTAATTTTTATGTAATATATATATATTGTTTTTTTCTTAAGTGTATATATTATAGTGTTGTTAAGTGTATAAACACTTTATATTATTATTTAGTGTCGGAATCCCCTATTGTGTGTCCAATGAACTTAATGATAGCCTTATGGATAGTTTATGGATAATATGGTATGGATTTAATATCATCATTATATGACACATATATTTATAAATATAAATCTTTCTTAACTACTGATTCTTTTATTAATTCAGCTTAATATATATATACTATATTTTTATAACATAAATATTTTTGTATCAATATATATTATATAATACTAAATACTAATAAAAAATATAACGATAAAAATAATTGTTATAAGTAATTCATAAACTATATAAGTTAACAAGTTAGAATTAATAGAAAACTTATTCTATATTAAATATAATATTTATTAAAATTAAAAACATTATAATACATTTTTATTTTATAAAAAATTAAAATATTTATTTTGAAATTATTAAAACTATTTTATTATAAAGCTGTGTCAAATGTCAAAACACGTGTCAACGTTTAAAAGCAAAATGTTTATTTTTACAGAATTTCATTAACTCATATACTTATTAAGATAAACCTCCATAAGCTAGTATACAGGTGCCCATTTACTTAAAAACTTTTTAAGCTAATGTATATGTTCTAAAATATTCATAGTTGATAATAATATATTTTTTTATTTAGTTTCTTTTCATAGAAAAGTTATTCCCCAAAAACCATTCCCATTTATATCGAAAGTTATTATATTTATTTCCTATTATATAATATATAAATTTTTATATAAATTTATCAATTTATTGCTATCTATTGAGGCGTCAATTCTTGCTATTTATTGTGTTGTGTGATCTCATTGAATAGCTTTTAGCACTCTTCACATTCATGTCTTTATTTAGTGTCGCCTATTATATGATATGCCATTATTTCATTTATAAGATACTAATATATAATATGGTATAGTATGGTATGGTATGGTATAGTGTGGTGTTGGGAACAAATTCTCGTGCCAAACAATTTAATATTGCCGGTGCTTTACGATTCATATAAATTATATTCATATATATATATATATATATATATATTGTATACCAGTATATATAATGTAATGCTTATTGGATGTGAATATCAAACGAGATCGATATTTAAGTAATTTTCTCGCATATATATGGATATATTTGCCCTTCTTTGTTGTCATACCATACCAGTAGTAGTAGTAGTAGTCTATGGTGTTATCTTCCTGTGCTACACAATATCCCGATTTAAGGATTAGGTAGGGATGCAGTCATTGAGGAATGAGT